GTAAAATGCGATGATTTCTTCTCTCTGATTTTTTTCTCATCGAAACTCAATATATGGAGGTGGAGTTGGAGTCGGAGACGCAACAGGGGGCCCACGAGGTAGGGGGGCGTGCCCTAGGGGGGCAGGCGCGCCTCCCACCCTCGTGGCAAGACGGTGGGCCCCCTGGCCTTCATCTTTGGCAGGTATTTTTCTTATTTTCTGAAAAGTGTCTCTGTGAAGTTTCAGGTCATTCCGAGAACGTTTGCTCCTGCATATAAATAACACCATGGTAGTTCTGCTGAAAACAGCGTCAGTCCGGGTTAGTTCCATTCAAATCATGCAAGTTAGAGTCCAAAACAAGGGCAAAAGTGTTTGGAAAATTAGATACGTTGGAGACGTATCATCCCTCCATCAGCTTATGTTCCCGGGGGTGTAGTAGGTCCTAATGATCATATGTCAATATCTAACACTAATGCCGAAAGTATGCAGGAAGCTGGCGAGGAAATAGGCAAAAATTCCTTTGATTTTATGCAGGAAACAGAAAATACAGACGAAATCGGTGCAGAAGATCCGAGAGGCGATCCCGGAGTTGATCTGGGCGGGAGTATCTCCTCGGGATCGCGCGCTGTAGGCCCGTCAGGCGGATCCTTGATGGGATCTGCGCCCGCGCCGGCGCCGGCGTCAGGGGGACCAGGTGGGTCCCATGCGAGTGGGCCTGGTTGGCCTCCCGCAGCAGCTCCCGCCGCACATGGGCCTGGCGCCGCGACACGGTTGGGCGGTGGTGCGCCGCAACCCAACCACGACTCGCCACTTGGCGCTTCTGGAGAGGATGTGCTCCCTGCGTCTGATGGTCCGCTGCATGGCGGTCGGGTGGCTCGCTGCATGGCGGTGTGCTGCATGGTGCACCGGCTCTGCTACAGGAGTCCAGCGAGGGATTTTCTGTGGATTCTTCGGCTGTGTCTTCTGAGTCAAATCGGCTTCAACAGCATCTGGCTCAGCCTCCTCTGCCTCCTCCTACGCGAGCACACACCAGGTCATAGAGTGGTATTTCTCAACCAAAAAAATATAAGGATGGTTGCATTCATTGGGGATCTTTCTGTACTACAGGTGAACCAACTAATCTAGGAGAAGCGTTCGGTGACTCCAAGTGGAGGGATGCAATGGACGAAGAGTATACTGCCCTCATGAAGAACAAAACCTGGCACTTGGTTCCTCTTGCCAAGGGTCGGAATGTGATTGATTGCAAATGGGTGTTGAATGTTAAAAGAAAGTCTGATGGCAGTGTTGACAGGTACAAGGCACGTTTGGTGGCCAAGGGGTTTAAACAAAGGCATGGGATTGACTATAAGGACACTTTTAGTCCTGTAGTAAAAGCTGCCACCATCAGATTAATTCTCTCAGTTGCAGTATCTCAGAATTGGTGTTTGCGACAACTAGATGTCAAGAACGCATTTTTGCATGGTGTTCTGGAAGAGGAAGTCTTCAAGAAGCAACCTCTTGGGTATGAACATCCATGGTTAAGGCAGCATGTTTGCAAGCTTGACAAGGCCTTGTATGGGCTGAAACAAGAACCTAGAGCTTGGTACTCTAGGCTTTCTTCAAAATTACAATCTCTTGATTTTGTTCCTTCAAAGGGGGACACCTCATTATTCCTTTATCATCGTCATGGTGTTACTATCTTTATGTTCATCTATGTTGATGATATTGTTGTTACAAGCTCGTCATCCAAGGCAGTTGAAGCTCTTCTCAAGGATCTGCGCATGGACTTTGCACTTAAGGACTTAGGTGATCTTCACTATTTCCTTGGGATTGAGGTAAAGAGTGTACAAGGTGGAATTGTGTTGTTACAAGAAAAATACATTCATGATATACTTCAGAGAGTAGGCATGAAAGGATGTAAGCCATCACCTACACCTATATCTACCTCTGAAAAATTGTCTCTTCATGATGGAGAGGTGCTTGGCACAGAGGATTCCACCAAGTACAGAAGCAATGTAGGGGTTTTGCAGTATTTGACATTAACTAGGCCAGATATTTCATACTCTGTTAACAAAGTTTGTCAGTTCTTGCATGCTCCTACTAGTGTGCACTTTACAGCGGTGAAAAGAATATTACGGTATCTTCAAGCAACACGCAGTCATGGTCTTAAACTTGGGAAGTCAAACTCCATGCTTGTAAGTGCATTTTCAGATGCAGATTGGGCTGGATGTCCTGATGACAGGCGATCAACAGGAGGATTTGCAGTGTTTCTGGGCAGTAATTTGATCTCATGGAGTGCTCGCAAGCAAGCCACTGTGTCTAGGTCTAGCACAGAAGCTGAATATAAAGCCTTAGCAAATGCTACTGCAGAAGTTATTTGGGTCCAAAATATGTTAACTGAGCTAGGTGTTCGTCATCCTCAGGCAGCATCACTTTGGTGTGATAATCTTGGTGCTACGTACTTGTCAGCTAACCCTATTTTTCATGCTGGGACCAAGCATATCGAGATTGACTATCACTTTGTTCGAGAAAGGGTAGCCAACAAACTGCTGAATATCAGGTTTATACCCACTGGTGATCAAGTTGCAGATGGGTTTACCAAACCCCTTTCTTTGAGACAACTTGAAGGTTTTAGACACAATCTCAACATAGAGAGTTGCGATTGAGGGGGGTGTTAAACATGTAAACCTTCGGTGTTGTATAAACCGTAGGATGGATATAGATAGATCAAGTTGTTAGGTTGTTGTGATTGAGTCCTTGGAGATCAATCCACGCCATGTATATCTCTCTGTAACTACTTGGCTTCGGCCCATATATTAACACGCAATGCGTCCTTGCTAGGCATACGCTTAACCTATTTTCACACTAACTGGTATGCATCATCGCTGGCGATATATTTTGTTTTACAAATGCACGAGCTATTTTGTAAGTCACCTGAAGTTTCAATTGTTGTAAGCCGATTTCGCGTGAGAAGCAAGGAGGGGAGGTGGAGCTTGAGGCGGAAGACGGGGTGACATGACGAGGGGCAGTGAAAGTCAACCCCCGCAAGGCCGAGCCAGGACCTCGCCGGAGACGAGGACTCGCTGCATGCAGCATCGAGTTGTGACCTCGCCGGCGGAGGCAAGGAAGAGAGTCAACTAGGGCAGGTGGGGTGCACTGGCTCGCCGGAGAAATCTAATGACTGTGAAGGTTTAGAGGGATTTTCGTTGTGATAGAGTTACCTGTCGGCGTCGGCGTCTCGTCGTTACTACTACCTTAGATCTGACAGCTGGACCCATAGTTTATGCAGCCAACAGCTGGGGAGAGAAAACAAAAGTGTGGGAACATGAGATTTAGTTGCCCTCGTCCAACATAGATCGTCAAGTGTGCTCAACTAGCATAACAAGGGAATATTTCATAAAC